GTCATGCCACGTGCAATAATCCATGCATTTACAGCCAATGACCACATCGATAAGAAATAGTCCCAAATAGCCCTATCGATTTTATTCAGTTGAAAGAGACATTATTGTTAAAACATTCTACTCTATTAAATGTTTTCAAACCCCTTCCTCTCTTTACAATGTGTATTGGTGACCTCTCTGATAAAGCTGGGTTGACTGATATAATTAACTTAATTTGTCAGATATGCAGTTTATCAACAGAAATAAATTCAATAATAAAATAAATAGTGTTTAGTGTTCTTAAGTGAACGAAGTTATATCCAGTTCACGAAAAACGGTTACCGTGGGTATAAAACCAGGATGTAAAATTTTTTTTTATCAACGAGTGCCACTGTGTTAAAAAGCTGAATCTGTCATACAGGTTCTTTACCAAGTATATAGTATATACATGTTTATGAAATAACTCTTTACAAAAGAATAACCTTTGACTTTAAAATTGCCGCGTTGAGGCGTAACCCTTTTCACAGCATACAAATGGAAGTGATCCTGAATGTGCACGTTCATTGTACAGGCTATCTAAGTCAAACCGAGCCTGCAACTTTTTCAATTTTGCCGTTTTGGGCGATATTTAGGGTTTCTGTTTTCTCTCTATTTTGAATATTCCACGTTTCGTATTGCTACACATGACACTAATAGATTTTTCACAATCATTATCGTGAAAAGAGCAAATCAATTTCTTTACAAATACAGACCACAATTTTACGACTTTTAAAATCACTTATAGCGCAGCGAGTAAAAATCATTTAAATATTCATTTGTGTTTATGTAAATTGTATAGTAAATAAAATGTTTTCATGGTTAACATAATTATAGAAAGAGAACGGAAGGCATGTTTCTTTGCATTTGCAACGGATTATAAAATCTGCTTTAAACTGTAGTCTTTTTTTCGACTTGGAACTGGTGCCAGAATTGACAATTGAAGAAAAAGGCAAGATTTACGCCATAAATAATAAACATATAAACATATTAAGGTAGGATTGTGCCTTCTGTACCCCCGGTTGATGTAAACCTGACTTTTTAATCATGGCATAGACCAAATAACGCCAGAAAACGAAATAGCTTGCAACTGAAGTCCGTTCTAATACAAGCAATTTCCAAGGTTATGCAAAGTGTTTGATAAAACGGCTTATAAACTGACAAAGATCCAACATTCTGTGGAAAGCTTATATTTTTCCCCGTAGACTCGTGCATATCCCAAAGAAATTGGTACAGAAATAAAATATTTACGGCTATTTTCTTTTCCGAATCGAGCAATATTTGTCTTGGAAATGATGCCGAAAATGACGTCAATGTCACGTGGTATTGCCACACTGTAGTTGGTTAGTTGCGTGTCCAAACCGCTTATGACATATGAAAACATGTCGATTGGGTGTATCCATTGTTTAATTTTGATATTGTTAATAAATATGGTAAGACGTTGAAAATTTTATATCGCGTGTACTATTGTAATTATATTAATTTTCCTGCTGCACAATTCTGCTATAGCACACATATTTTGCCATACATAATAAATAAATGTATGTGTTTGAAGCGTTACACTTGAGATCATTGTAGTTTATACACATTTTATAATAACAAGTTTACTTGATTTTACTCGAGATAAACAAGTCATTAAAATATATGTAATACACTATGGACACATATATAACATATGTTTTACGGTTTTATAGCCGTCATAGCTCGGTGCCCGTTGCGATATACATAGCTTTTTATTTTATGCATCATGTTTCATTTTATGTGTTTTTGAAAGAGTTATATCATTTATGTCTCTAGGTTTAATGTCCCAAGAGTTCAATGCCCCTTTATCTAATTCCTCAAATTTTATTCTTTAGATTTTACGCTCCAGGATTTTATATCACAATGTTATATGCTGCTTAATTAATTACCCTAAGAATGAATTATTCTGGCTTTTGTTCTTACATTATATGTCCCTGGTTTAAATACTCCCATATTTAATTCTAGACTCTATACATCTAAATCTTCAATGCATCTAGAACTTAAACTCCTAGATATAATGCCTTTAGATTGCCTGCTCCTTGGTATAATGCTCTCAGAATTATTGATGCTCCTAGATGTTATGCTCCTCAATTGTCTGCTCCTCGATTTGATGATTTTTTTTGGATTTTTCTGCTCCTTGGTGTAATTTCCGTAGAATTTATGCTCCTAGATTTTATGCTCTGAGATATTACACCTCTATATGCTCCAATCCTTGATGTAACGTTCATAGAATTTATACTTCTAGATTTGATGTTTCTAGACCTAATTTATGCTCCTCGATTTTATGCTCCCTTTTTATGCTTAGAAAAACATTCTCTTTAATCATGCTCCTCTATATGTCATGCCATTAGATATTCTAACCTTACATCTAATGACCATAGATTTAATGCTCTCTATAGTTCATGCCCTTAAAGTTAATGCCCTAAAATACAATGCCAGAAAATAATAATCTATATTATGCTTGTTTTTTTAGTTAATGCCTCTACATTTTATGCAAGTATAACCAAACGCATGAGAATTAATGGCATTTCAAGGACAAAGTACAAGTATATATAAACAATAAGCTACTTTGCAAAAGAATCACGAGGAACCTTGATTCGTGATATTACCTGCTTTAAGTGCCATTACGCGGTAATAGTCCTCAGAACGCACCGGTGGGGAGGGGGGTTTTCTCCGGCTCTCTGAATTATGCTTTTGTAATTATCTTTATCACCCACTTAGTTGAATGCCTGTTTAATGCCTTCATCGCACGCGGCAAAAACGATTATAAGTCTGTGTATTTCACGGTGTATGTAAAGATATGTTTTATGCTTGAATACATGGGGGAAAAGTATGCTAATGTTTTTAATATTGTGAGTATAAACATATATCTTTAAAAGAACATCATCGAGGAATTATAACCTAAAAAAATGAGAGGATACAATTTATTCTAAAAATTCATGTTTATTGTGCTATAGTGATTTAAATATGTAAGTATATTAATGTGTGTAGCAGGTAACACTTATGATGTTATAAGGATAACAGTCAGACATCAATATTTTATAATATGATGTAGTATCCAAGGATGTAAATATGGTTGTACATTGGTCTGTGCAGTGTAAATTATAAAAATCATTTTATATAATTTATTATATAATGAAGTACATTTTTAATTTATTTGTTGTACATATATTTTGGTGACGTATTAAGTGTGAATATTCGACACTAGTCTGATCATATTGTGATTTATAGATTACGCCGAATCAAAACGAAAAAATCCAATAGGTAGATTAATAGTTATATTGATCAATAAGTAATTATACGCCTCACCACAGCAAGTGGATGGGTGGGGTGTACAAAATTTAAATAGGAAAACATTTAGAATTGGGATAGGATCATTTTTCCGCGTGCAATTTTGATGGTTGAGTGCTAAATTACGCGATGATATTCAAAGTTGCATTTAGCCGATGTCAAATACAATCCAAAGCTAAATTTATGAAAAACCAATAACATTCGGTTCGATACTAAATGTTTGTGAAGAAAAATTAATGTATACGCGAACAAGTATAATACATGTAATATTCGTTACGCTCGCATCATCACCCATCTTTAGTCAGAAGCAACAATTTACGTTCTATATAAAACTGTGCCACGCATCATTAACGTTATCCTTAATTAAAGCAGCACGCCTCCAGATTCATGTTAATTGTCATGAAAATTTTGGATAGATTGAAGATTTTGTATATTGTCAGGTGAACAAAATTATGCAATTTACATATTGTAATCGACATGTACAATTCAAGAAAATAACCAAATTATGGTCAACAAATGCAAAAACAGCGTTTACTGCGTTAGTAACGTAGTAGAGATATGGCAATAAAATACTGCAAAATCAGTCTTTAACTACACAAAATATGCAAAATTCAACTCGGATTTTGAATGTCTTTACCTTTCTTAACATCTTTGTACATTTTTCTCAATATTGATTTTCTTGAGATAGTTTGGCTCAACTGGAGGCGTGCAGCTTTAACACGTCAGGCAAGTAAAAATCAATATGGTCGTGCCAGATTAATCAGTCAATCAAACAAATACAAGTCCATACATGTATAATTTATCTTTACTGATCAAGGTAAGTAACTGCTGCTTAAACTGTTTGCTGCGTGACTTTATATTGAACCAATCCCATTAAAATGATTATGTTTGTTGGCTCGTCTTCTTCACAAACATGACGAGATGAACATTTTTCAACTTACAAAAAAAGTCTTATGCATGACAGGTCATGATGTGCAGTTTGGCCTTTAATCATTGAGAAAATAAACAACAATAACAATAACAACAGCAACAGCAGCAGCAAGCAAGCAAAACAACACAGAAAAACAATATGTTATGAAGTAAAATAACGCGCAATTAAACGAAAGACCGGCAGTGACATTTCAAATTCTTAAATTCTGGAGTTCATCTTCACAAATTCACAAATTCAAATGCATGAACTCACGAATAAGATATACAGAATTCACGAATTCACGTTTCAACTTTTAGAAACACAATTAAGACTTACGAATTAAATTCCGAATACATTTTTTGGTAACGGTTTTCCCCTTAAAAAATTTTTAATTATTGATATGGTGCAAATTTTCTGTTACCAATAAAATAAACAACTATTAATTAAGGGGGGTTAACTAAAAAATGAATTTTGTTAACCTCTTAATTAAATTTCCTAGTATTGTTATCGGGGGCAGAAATACCCCCATGATGTCCCCAAAATTTTTAAACCCGAGATTTACACTAGTAATATGAAATTTTTATACCCCGGGTTTGGTTCTTTTTTTAATCATAAATTTTTTTTCACATTATTTTGTGGGGTAGAAAACAATTATTAAATATCACATAAAAAAAGAGTGGAAATTTCCCTAATCAATCAAAAATACGTATTAAATAAAAAAAACGTTAAAAACAATACCTTATTTATACTTTGTTTAATTTAGTTACAGCAGACTGGTGACGTAATAGCAGCCGAAATATGGCGGAATTTCCCGATCTCGACTCGACATGGTCTTGGATTGTAATGGTTGCTATTTTTGTGGCATTGTCTGTTATCGGTGGCACGAATTATACAGTGGGACTGGTACACAACATTTTACTCGAGAAATATAACGAAACTCAGACTACAACTGCATGGGTAGGAGCTGTCCATACATCGATATCAAATTTAGCAGGTTCGTAAAAGTTTATCTACATACATCGATATCAAATTAAGCGTATGTTAATCTACATGGCTCGATATCAAATTTAGCAGGTTCGTATGTTTATCTACATACATCGATATCAAATTTAGCAGGTAGGTTTATCTACACATACATCGATATCAATTTTAGCAGGTAGGTTTATCTACATACATCGATATCAAATTTAGCAGGTATGTTTATCTATATTACATCGATATCAAATTTTAGCAGGTAGGTTTATCTACATACATCGATATCAAATAAAGCAGGTAGTTTATCTACTTACATCAATATCAAATTAGCAAGTATTTTTATCTACATTCATCGATATCAAATTTAGCAGGTAGGTTTATCTACATACATCGATATCAAATTTAGCAGGTAGGTTTATCTACATTCATCAATATCATATTTAGCAGGTAGGTTTATCTACATACATCAATATCATATTTAGCAGGTAGGTTTATCTACATTCATCAATATCAAATTAAGCAGGTAGGTTTATCTACATACATCGATATCAAATTTAGCAGTAGGATTATCTACATACATCAATATCAAATTTGCAGGTAGGGTTTCTTTACATACATTGATATCGAAATTGTCACAGAAATACATTGCTTATCAATTGTTTGATGTTATTGCTATGTATTTATATGTAATGAGACCAAATGTTATGATTAAAAATCATTATTATAATATACTATATATATATATATATAATTATATATATATATATATATATATATATATATATATATATATATAATCTGGTTTTGTGACGCCAGCATGGATCCAGACCAGGCCTTGGGGGGGCCTAAAATCCCCCGGCGGCCCAAAAAAGTTTCTTTGATTCAGGATCAATGATGTTCGCTTACAAACCGTATAACAAGTAGAGAAACTGATAGCGAACTGCATGGATTCTGATCAGACTGCGCGGATGCGCAGGCTGGTCTGGATCCATGCTGGTCGCAAACCCATTATGTTGGTTTGTCATGACGCGGCTCATATGATTGGCTAATGGAACTTTGTTTATTACAGCTCCACTCTCCAGCGCACTTATCGACCATTTTAGTGTTCGAACCGCAATGATGACAGGTGGCCTGCTTTATACAATCGGGTTTCTGTCCACAGCATTTGCTCCAAACATTAGTCTGTCTGTCTTGACCTTTGGGGTAATTGCAGGTGAGATTGATTCGGTAATTTATGTTTGAGTTTTTTTCTGCTACAATATGTAAAAATCAATAAAAAAATGAAATGTACATTAGAACTTCCCTTAAGTTGTGTCTGCATCAAAAGAAATAAAACAGACGCATATAAGCCAACAACTTTTTTCTTAATGAATTAAAGGGTCAACCCAACAATAAGTGAGAAATTTTATTTTCCGTTTTATTAAAAATATTCATTACGTTTTTTTGGGGTAATATAGACCCCTTTTTTCAATGACGGAATCCACCTATGGGAATCGTCTGCTCCCATTGAAAAGAAACAAAAGTTTATTCATTGAATAAGGGCTGTTTCCAGGTTGTTTTAAAACCGCAAACGTACTCTCGCATGGTTCTTTCAATTTTGGGAAAAATAAAAAGTCTGTGGACTCGTACCCAAGAATATGGAAATTTGGTAAAGTTCCAAGTAATTTGATAGATAGATTTTTCCTACATTTTTAAAAAGTCAGATTTCTTTCAAGCTGTTTAATAATAATATAATATATATAACACATTTGAAACAGAAACTAGGGGATGCCTTATAAAACAACACCTAACGCATAATTTGCCAACATGATTTCATCCCACAAATCAGTTATTCAATATTTTACATATATTTCAGGTCTTGGTGGAGCTAGCGGATGGACAGCAAGTATGATTGCACCTAATTCCATTTTCAAAAAATACAGAAATATCGCCCAGGGAATTTCGTTTTCGGTATAGGAGCAGGAATGTTGGCGTTCCACCAATCATATCATGGACTGGGAAAAACAATTATGGCAGTTTTGGATTTTTTGTTGCACTTGCATGTGTTTTCCGCTCAGTTTATAGTCTGCGGAATGATAGCGCGTCCATCTAGTCTAGAGAAATTCACTCACGCCACGTGCGCAAAAGCAGAAACAAATAAACGGGGTTTGAAAGAGGCGGATTCTATCTATGTATTTAAAAATCTTAATAACGAAAAGTTGTTCTGTGTTATACGCTTAGTATGTTTGCATATGGTTTCGGGATGTACCATCATTTTGTATATTTACCTGTTTTGCATACGACAAGGATCGAGCGAAATGCAAGGCGTCGTATATTTTATCCATTTGTGGGTTATCGTCAATATTTGGCCGTATTGTGACAGGTTTCATAGCAAATTTTAGACAAGTCAACGAAATATCTCTATATGTAGGAAGTTTGACAATTATTGCAATAATTTCTGCGATGATTCCGTTATATACTGCAAGTTTAACTGGGCAAATAGCATTCGCAATTGTGTTCGGACTATTTTTCGGATGTCCATATATTACAATCACTCCGATTAATTTCACATTTGTCGGCGTTGGGCACATCTCGTCTGCACTAGGTATCGAGCTTTGTGGCTGTGGGGCAGGTGGCATAGTTGGACCAATCTTAGCAGGTGAAGTCTTTTATGGTTTTAAGTTTAAAAAAATTTTTATTCTGAAATGTATTAAACTTTATTTATCTGTTATCATTTTATGAGCCTTTTTTGGAGGTTTTATTTTTTTTATTATACATAGGGGTTTATTTTAATCAGTGGGAATGGAATATTTAGGGTTCTACCCCCCAGGAAATATTTATAATTTGTATTTCCCACTTGAAAAATAAATTTTTTAATTGAAAAAAAGTTGAATTTTGTTCTTTTATAATTTTGTTTTTTTTTTTACCTTATGAAAACTAAAACACTTCCCCTTTAATTTTGTCTATCGGCTCAATTTAGAAGAAAGTTATTCGGCAAGACATCATTGAAAATATGGAGTAAATATGTTTCACTGCATTTGGAAATAATTTTTTATACTGAAAATATGGAAATGATATTCACGGGCGGTAATATTTGTTTTTATTTGTTCAGTGAAAAAATATTTTTTAATTTATGAGTTTTCAGTTTAAAAAGCTGTTAGGAAGTCCCTTTTTCATATGTTTTTATCCTCGCGGTAGACTTTTATTTAATTAATAAAATTTCCCTCTTTTTTAAAAAAAAAAAAGGGGGCGACACAACATAAAAAAAAATTTTTATCGCGTTTGCCATCGTGTTTGTTATTTTGACTTTTCACAAACGTACTTTAAAAAAGTATCTCGTTTTTTCGACTTTTCACCATCGGGTTTTATATTTATTTTTAACGCGTTTTTCGTTTTTCGATTTTGTTGGGGTCCGAGGCCCCAACAGGAAAAAGGGATTTACCTTTAAAAAAAAAACCCATTCTTTTTAAATCAAATTTAATCTTTTTTAATAGTTAGTTTTCCATAAAAGGGAAAGAGTTTTTTAATTCATTTTTAACTCAAATTAAAGAAATTTTACAAAATACTCGCCCAGTTTTAATTCAAATGGTTTTAAAAATAGTCTCTGAAGAGAATCAACTTTTGAATTTGATATGCACCAAGTTTTTCTTACGAACAAGTAGGTTAAATGTCTCTAACTATTTCAGGTATTTCGATTGCAGTTTCCGCATTTTTTGGTTTCATTCCGTATCTCTTACACAGAAACGACAAAAAGAACGATGACATAACAATTTCTGTTGACTTGAAAGAAGGGGGGAAACCAGACAAAGTAACGGATGAAATCCTTAAAGATGAAAATAAAGATGAATACAACCAAAGATATGAGTTAGAAGTTTTAAAAGAAAATTTGCTCGCATCGACACATGAAATAACATGACTTTATATAATACACTTCTAGATGAAATACTGCTTGCTTAAATTGGGTAACGTCTTTCAATCAAAACATTAGAATTAAAGGAAACAAGAAGACAAAATAACACGATGCTTCAAAAGGGGTGACGGAAGGGAAAATGATAATATAAAACAATGCTTCATAAAAAATAGGGGTGACGGAAGGGAAAAAAGCACAATATATAACACGATGCTTCAATAGGGATGACGGAGGGAAAAAAGCAAATATAACACAATGTTTCAATACGGGGTGATGGAGGGAAAAAGACAATATAATACGATGCTTCAATAGGGGTAACGGAGAAAAAAAACAAAAACAATATATAACATGATGCTTCAATAGGGGTGACGGAGGGAAAAAAGACAATATAACACGATGCTTTAATAGGGGTGACGGAGGGACGATTTAAAATGAGAAGGGAAAAAAGGACAAGATATAAAAAAGAATGCTTTCAATGCATTGCTTTTCTTTTTCAACTCCCTCAATCAGAAATACACCATTTCAGACATTTTATCTTATTTTTAAGTGCTTCAACATAGTCCGCCATATGTTTACCTTTCAATAACCAAAAAATGGTCGACCCATGTCCCTTTCTACTCTGGAAGCGATGGCCTGCCAGTCTAGGAACGAGAAAAAAAAACACAGGGTGACGAGTCTGGAGAATGCGGTGGATGTTTAAGTACATTCACTCGTTTTTCTACATAAACAACAAACATGCAGAAAATACAAGCCTTTTATACCAATTAAACATTATTTTCGTGTTGTTTTTGTTTTTTCTTTCTTTAATTTTGAACACGGCATCTCTTTATTACTTAAAATAGGACTTCGGGCATCAGTTCCATGGGTGTAGAGAAAATTACGAAAACAACCTGTTTTGACACTTGTCACGAACATTTTTGGTGGCCCAAACCCTACTGTTACACTTGCGAACTGTCGTATGATAGTGAAACCAGCTTTCATCACAAGTCCACCATATCGGTAGATGCATTTTCAGTAATTTTCGAGCGCATTTAACTCGCTTGCTACAACATTTTAGCAATCCTCACGCAGTGATCTCCCCTTAATTCTTCGGCGAAGATCTCTGCCACCATTTATAAGGTCCGATATATCAGAATTTCTGATATACTATATTTTTTTCAAAAATTGTTTTATCTACTGCTTTTATCTATCAGATAAGTTTTTTCTCATTTATTTAACAATGTTTATGAATAAATAAATAAATAATATGAATATTTAGAAATAATTTTAAAAATTATGAGAATATTTTCTACCGAGACAATATTTTGATATTTTATATTTTTTAGCTTTTGAATTTATTTTTCGTTATTTTGTATACTTTTGATAATTTTTTGATAAACTATATCGAACGTAGGCACTAAAAGTTAAAAATAAAACAGAAAGAGAAAAATGACGTTAGATTTTCTATGTAACGGTCGATATTTACATTTGAATTTCGACGTTACGTCATGTGACTTTCATCATCATGTGACGTCTTTGAAGTTCTGCCAAGGGAGGTCATCACTGTGAGGAGTTTGACATTTTAGGTGTTAGCAAACTGAGTATCCAGTCTATCTAAGTGATTCCTCAGAACCCGTTTGATATACGGACTGTCTAGGAAAGTAAAGTCTGTCATTTTGTCAATGAAAAGCTTCAAATAAAGTTGTTTCTTCGCAAATGAGCATTTTTATATATTGTGTCTGCGTAAATTTGATTCTAGTCAAATGCTATCAATTTAAGTTTAGAAAAAAAATGAATCTCAAAGAATGTTCAAAATGACAAAATTAAAAATATTGCAGGCTCGGTTTGGTTGAAAATCATTTAACCTGATCCAGACATCCTTTTGTGAATATGGAGCCAGTATGTTTATTTTCCTGTTCGGAATAATTTTCATATTCTTCTGATCATCATTGTTGAAGCCTTTAGAATTCTATAGCTGTCTGATTCAGGCGCCCACCTTATTTTTGTCTTCGTCCCGTACACAATGTTGAGGTTAAGGACGTAGTTACACGTTTGAGCGGTAAACGACCACCACATATGGTCGCCACTAAGACAAGACGTTGAAGAATCCTCAGCAAGTGCAACAAATGGAGATTCATTAAAGGTCGCGAACGTTTCCCCATAATTGTTACCTGAAAAAAGCAAATTATTTTACAGATTAAAAGGCTGATTTGACATCATTGTCATATATTCAGTACATACTAAACTGTCCAGATAATGAAGTATGTACGAAATATATACCACAGGTAAGAGATGATTTGGCTTTAGGCACGTCGAAACACGAGGATATCTGATTTGTACGAAGGGGCATAGCCACACGAGAATAAATGAGCCGCGTCACGACAAAACCAACATAATTGGTTTGCGACCAGCATGTATCCAGATCAGCCTGCGCATCTGCGCAGTCTGGACATGATCCATGCTGATCGCAGTTTCTCTACATGTAATAGGGTTGGTAAGCGAACAGCATGGATCCTGTTCAGACTGCGCGGATGCGCAGGCTGGTCTGGATCCATGCTGGTCGCAAACCAATTATGTTGGTTTTGTCATGGCAAGGCTCAAATCCGATTGCTGAGTGTTTTGATGTTCTTTTCTTTTATATCACAGGCAAAAATAAAAACACGTTCCTTGTTGTCACAATATGAAACCCTAGAAAAAAACCTAAGCAATGAATTTCTATCGGTACCAATCGGATCGTCCTCGGCTATTATTCCTTCTAACCCCGGAGTTAATACGGTTTGAAAGTAGTTCTACCACGTGCTTTCAAATGTAATGAGAAAAAGAGAGTGTAATCTTTGACAATGTAAATCGAATGTATATATTTGACATCCAACTGAAAATAAAGTCTTTTCAGTACAATTCTAGATCTGATTGAAAACATGTCTGGCAATAATTTTTGAAGGCCCGGTCACACCGCAAGAACATTGCTTGAGCGTTCCTTGAACGGTAGGGAGAGGGGAACAGAATTTAGCTATAATTACGGGGAGAAATGGACCAAGAGTCCATTTGGAGTCGAGCTGTCGTTGAGTGCAGCTCATTTACATCGAATTTGCTCAAAGTTACAATAAAATTATACTGTAATGTATGCTGAGAGACTTGTTATGATTGGTGCACGAGTTGTGTGGTTCAGACAGTGGGTACTGAGAAGGCCTGAACATGGCGTAGATATGCCCACTGATTTACAATTATAAACAAATCCGACTAAATGTTAACAGGCTGGCATTTTTTACTGTCGTTTTCTAAAGCCATATAATAATAATAAGTACATAAATAGTTAACTCTTAACTTTTATATCTATCAATTTATTTACTTAATTTAGGTGGACTTTTACTTTATTTATTGGGAAAAAAACTTGCCAACAACTCCCAGCGTAATATTACTCTTTGTTTACATGTTTCTTAGTGTAGGTGAAATACCGTATTCTTACTACTGTGTTCGAGAAGTTGCGATTGTCTGTCGTCACAATAAGTAGTATAGGCGTCGGTTTAGGGCCACGACTGCGCATGCGCGGCGCCATATTGGATTCTATTTTTAGAATGACATCATCGTTCTATTTTGAGAATGTGATCATCCGTCTATTTTTAGAATGACATTATCGTTCTATTTTTAATCTCCCGGAAGTATACGGAGCTGACTCGTATACACGATCTTAGGGCTTGAATCGCGGACATTGAGGGTCAGGTCCTCGGCCCTAGACGGAGAGATAATTACCATTTATGACAGATAAAAGAAATGTTTGTAAATAGATACGTACTTAACATTTTAATTTATAAAAAATAGTTTAGGTTCAAAATAATATTGATACAAATATAACTCGTTTACTTACCTACATTTAGTAAGGAAATGACTGTCATAGCGTAACGTTCTTGTAGACTGCGCATGATTTATTTTTAGTCCGGTATTTCACAACCACCAGGAGCTATTTCATCAGCCCACGCGGGTGTCAATGAAAGAAAAAGGCATTAAGTACAGTCGCCGCTCAGTCTAGATTCACAATACCTAGCGGAACTATTTTTGAACAAAAAACCCTTTATCCTTCGTTACTAAATATAACTTTTTCATTAATCACAAAAGAATCTATTATCCTTTCAAACGCAGCGGACCGTCAAGTACAGTCGCCACTTAGTCTAGATTTACAATACCTAGCGGAACTATGTTGAACAAAAACCCTTTATCCTTCGTTACTAAATATAGCTTTTCATTAATCTTATCCTTTTAAATTGCAGCGACCATTAAGTAAAAACTCATTAACGAGAAATTGCTACGCATGCATTTAACATATTTTAACACTTCATATATTGTACCGTTCCTTTTTAAGTGCATGCTACGGTAAACTGATTGCATATTTTAACACGGTTGCCCTTAGCAACTGGTCAAATTTTGTGATTTTTATGAACACTTCAGATTCTTATTTTTTATACAAAAATAAATTTTAAATGAATAACTTATGTATAAGAAAGTTGTAAAACTGATTTTAAATGAAATTTATAATACATTTAAGCTATAAAACCGGTTTTTATCGTCTTTGGGCAAACCGTTTACGCTCAAATTTTGAGATAAAGTCGTTATAAGATAGAATAAACCGAAAGCTTTTCGTTTTGACCCGGGGTTTCTCGATTCCCCGATTTTCAGCCGTTTTTGAGTTATGGACGCAAGAGCCGATTTTAAACCCTAAATTCGAAAGTCAATAAAAACGTTTACAACTGTTTTCCAATCGATTCGTCTCGTCGCGCGATTAAAGAATATATACTTTTATGGGTTTATCTTTTACCGTTTTCGAGTTTAATTCGAGTTTTTAAAGTCACCGGAAAGTGACGTCACAGAAATTTCAAAATCGATTTTTTTCCGTTATTACTTGACCGAATATACTCGTGTTTGGTATCGTTGGAAAGCATTTTACCACACCTGTTACCTGACGCTCTTCAAAAGCCATTGGACCGGAACTGAAATCACTGAAGCGTAAAAACGTGTTTTCTGTACCACGTCCGGACCGAACTAAGGCGTGTTTGGTATCAAACGAAATGTCTTAAGCCGCTCTTTATGAATACGGACTAAAATCGAAATTAAAATCACTCATGCGTAAAAAATCATTTAAAATAACTAAAATAAGCTTACCCCCAGTCTTTACTCCTTGCCTATCAAACTATTTATGACAAGTTACTATAGCCTATCGTTAAACGGTCCAGTTACGACAGGTTTAAACCGGTATTGCTATTTTTGATTAGCCAATGAAATTGATAAGAAACGAGGTTTTTAAAACCATTTTTTAAAAAATCATAAAAACCCTTAGATTTATATGCCGTTTGAAAGATCTCTGCGAGTAGATACAGAAAATGTATTATTATATGGAATCTATCTTTTACTGTTTCTGAGATAGGAGAGTTTCAATATGGCAGACAAAATCACTCATGCGGAAACACGCGCATAACTTTTTCGTTTATGAACGAAACATAGTTATGTTTGGTATCAAATTGAAGGTCTTGACGAGTACATTTTTAGTCACGCGATCAAACCGGATGTGAAATCACTCATGCGTGAAAAATATATATTTTGGTTACTAGTGCAACCAAATACGATATGATTTTTAATTGTTGACTACCAATTGAAAGAACAGTTCAATACCTTTAATTTACACCCCACATTATCGATTCGATTTTCAACTGTTACAGAGTTATTACGTAACAGCGATTTTTTAAACCCAAATTTTTTAAAGTTTACAAAGCCCTTCAATTTAGTATACCGTTAAAAAGATCTCGACGAGTAGATTCAGAAAATGTATAGGTTTATGGGTCTATCATTATGAAGTTACTGAGATATTACAGATATAGACTTAGTGTATTTTAACCACCGATTGTTAGATTAAAGCGTTATTGCACTACATTGTTCAAAAATAATTCAAACGAGTGTGGCGTCCTTATTTATGGGTCGATTTTATCCATCTTTGTTATCAAATTAAAAAGGTATTTAAGAGTACTTTTCAGACGCTGTTATAGTAAAGTTCATACTGGAAGTCAAAATAATTACTTATGCGTTAAATTGACAATTCTCCGCTTATTTTCTGGACCATAACATGGGTATGTTGCATTATCAAACGAAAGGTTTCTTGGGACAAATGCGACAAGCTGAAACTAACAAACCGCAAGTGAAACCAATCACGCGTAAAAATTATTTAAAATAACTAAAATAAGCTTACCCCCAACCTTTACTCCTCGCTATCTAAATCGGCAATGAATGAATCGCTACGGTTAATCGTAATAAATGGAGTAAAAGAAGCGTTCGGATTGGTCACTGATAAGACAGTATTCTGATTGACTCGAAAAGCAGTTGGACAACCGTTTCCTTGCAATGTGTAAAAATACATAAAACAAGTGAGGAGGAGGAGGAGGTGGAGGAGGAGGAGGTGAAGGAGGAGGAGGAGGAGGAGGTGGAGGAGGGGAGGAGGAGGAGGAGGAGAAGGTGAGGAAGGTGGAGGAGGAAAAGAAGAAGCAGGAGGTGTAGGAAAGTAGGAGAAAGAGGAGGAGGAGGAGGTGGAGGGGAGGAGGAGAGAAGGAGGGGAGGAGGAGGAGGGAGGTGGTGGCGGAGGAGAAGGAAAGGAATTTTTTCCTGTATCTGCAAACGTAAGAATCGTTAAATAAACTTGTAAGAAGGCAGATTTCTTCAAGCTTTTATAAATCTTGCTACTAAAATGAATAAGTGTTCTGTATGTAATCAGGTGTTTCTCTAGGTTGACAACATGCGAAGACATGAACGTTATATGCATAGCAGTAACGACACAGTTAAAAGTAATTCTCTATTACAAGAAGTAACTCAAGGGAAAACTTCAGAAAAGATGACATTTCACCACCCTTTTTCCATGGTTGTTTCCGGACCCAGTGGTAGTGGAAAAACAGAATGGACCAGAACACTGCTGTTATCTAACCTAGTACGTCAGCCGCCTGAACGCATCATATGGTGTTTCGGACAATGGCAACCTCTGTACGACGAACTTCAGCGTAGAATACCTTGGATAGAATTTGTACACGGTATCCCCGACTACTTGAATAATCCCGAGTACATCAACGCCAGCAAAAGGAACCTGATCGTTTTTGACGATTTGATGACAGAGGCCAAATGTGACCAGAGAATCGCCGAT